ACACACACACACACACACACACACACAAATACACAAACACACACACACACATATGAACTCATTTAAGCCCGCACTCACATATACGGGAGTTTTGGGTGTCTTGATTTTTCTTTGCACTGAATGGCCTTTTGCGTGGTTACAGGGCGGCTCTTGTCGGCCCTACTTCTTTTCTTTCCCATAATTGTTTCTGTCTGTCTGTCTCTCTTTGTTTTCCCTCTAGTCTGCAGCAAATGGCTATTATCGCGCTGATGGGCTTCTCTTCGCTGGAACCGATTTATAAATAGCCGTTATCGAACTTATTGCGTTGCACTTTAAAATTACTGAAACCGTAATACAAATGGCTATTATTGAGTCGATGTGCTTCTATTTAATGGAACAGAATAATTATAAATGGCTGTCATCAAATCTGCGTGCTTCTCATTACTCAAACCAAATAAATGAGTGGGTAGTTAGTGGGTGCTTTGGCGTGGTTTGATCCTTTCCTATGGAACATCTGTTGTCCTTATTACTCTTCCCTCTTGTTTTTGTATATATGTCACTGTCTATCACACCTAATTTTTGGCGCTTATGTGACCTATTTGTGTTGCAAGTGCTGTAAAACGCCCATTAAAACTAAAAACAAAAACTAAACCTAATAAATGGTGGTCATCAAGTGGATGGGCTTCAAAAGTAATTAAACCAAATATTTATTATATGGTTGTTGTCTAGTTTACTGACACCAAAACAAATAAACAATTTTAACCCGCCCCACCACCACACACCCCCACCCCCCCAAAAAAAGAAAGGGTTATATTACTATCACAACAACAAAAAATACAATCCAAAAAGTACCAGCAAAGCTACCCATCCTTAACCTGGCTGTAGACGCGGTGCTGGGCACGTTTGAGGACAATGGCGGCAACATGTTCTGGACGATCGCGGCCAAGATGCCGGTGCAGGCCAACCCCATCGTGTGCTGGAAGTTCCTGCAGCTGGTCCACAAGCTCATGAGGGACGGACATCCTAATGTGAGTCTAATACGATAAGATAAGATAAGATAAAAGATAAAATGAGATGAGATAAGATAAAATAAGATAAGATAAGATGAGGTATAGTAAGGTAAGGTTATGTAATATAATGTAATGTAATGTTAAAGAGGATATGGTAAGATAATATGAGACAAGGTAGGATAGGATAAGGTAACATATGATGAGACAAAATGAAATAAGATAATACATGTACTTTAATGTCCCATAGAAAACTTTTCATGACTTAACATCTCTGTGTGATATTATCACGTTGACTGAACTTTTTGATAGAGCTGTAAGACACGAGAGTGCAGGTCTTGGCATGTACTGTTCTCCATGTTTAAGATGGAAAAAAATTAATTAAGGTCATTATCAGGGGCTGGGTTGGACTGGTGTGATCTACTTCTGTTTCGCTTCAGTGGTGTATTTTTGGGGGTTTTTTTGTTTGTTGTTTGTTCAATCTGCTCCTGGCAAAATAAGGCCATTGCTGTACTGACAGGCTTAATTACTACTGACCCATTCAACACAAATGTCTTTCAGGTACATCACTGTATTTTTATGCGTTCTTTAGTAATGTTTTTATGTTTCTTTGACAGGTTGTTCAAGATTCTGTCAAGTATGCTAATCAGATCAGGGATGTGGGAAAGCTATGGGTATGTTTTGCAAAATGCTCTTATGTCATTGTTTATTATCATTTATTGTTTAAGATCATTTACTCTTTGTTTGACAAAGATTTAGACCATAGTGTCATTAAAATACTATACTCAAGTCCAACCAATTTTTTTGTTTTCTTTATTATTGTACTTTCAACAAAGATTTACTCCATGTGATTTTGATATAAGTTTCGGAGATGGAAAGTGATGAGTTTGTATTGAAAGAGGAAAGCTTTCTCATGCCGGGTTAGGAATATTTTTTTAGCGTACATTGTTTTATATGTCAGTATCTTAGCCCAGTGTGGACCTGATTTTGTTGGCTTCTTCTGCTGTTGCTGTTCCTAGTCCCGCAGCCTTTGGTTGTAGAGAGTGACAGTCTTTGCAAATTGTTTTCTGTTGAAGTATGAATAGATTTTTGGCTGGCCTGTCAATCGGAACGCCCCAGTTTCCCCTCTCCAGACATTTGTGTGTACTTGTGTAACGTGCCAGCATGCAAGCAATGACAGAAATGTGTACTCTAATGCCTTTATGAGACTGTAAAACAGACCAATGCTAGTCTCAGGACAAGTGTCAACATCGTAACTTTTGCTTTGATTCGTGGGTTTGTTTACACTTAGTGCTGGCCAACCTGGGCGACATTGCGCACTAACAGTTGATTTGGTCATTTTGGTGGGTGGTGGGAATCACCCGCGTAGTGACAAGTATTATTTTTTTGCATGTCCCACATTGAAATAAATGTAGGAGAGTGGTGCATCATGTATGAAAATTCTAGCTTCTGAAACGTGACAAAGGTTGGTGCTGGCTATAAAACGGTTGACAAGTCCTGGATTTAGATGCTGACATATTGTAGTATTACTCAGATAGAAAGTAGGTGAAAAGTGATGTGAAATTTTGAGGTGTTGTAGTATTACTCAGGTAGAAAGTAGGTGAAAAATAATGTGAAGTACAATCAAACCTGCTTTAAAGGCCACCTGTATAAGACAGTCACCTGTATAAGCGTTCCCTTCTTATTTCCCCCCTTGCTTTCTTTTTAACATTGGTATGCCACTGTGTAAGACAGCCACTTTTCCCCTCGATCGTGGGTGGCCATATTGAACAAACTCGACTTTACTTTTTTATTGAATTTGCAATGTTTCCTTTTTCAGGGTCACCTGAAGGAGGGATATGGCAGACTGATAGCTGGTTATTGCAAACTGCTCATACAGAAGTTCAAGTTTCATCGGAAGGTAGGGACACTTTGGTGTGAATCAGACATAGTTGTCACCTAATAATACGAGGCATAGTGTTGTCACCTAATGTTTCATTGGAAAGTAGAGACATTTTGGTTTTCCTTTTACCTTGGTTTGGCTCATTATGAATTGGACTTTAGGTATAAATACTGTTGTCACCTATATTATTTTAATTACGTGTATATTTTTAATCTAGACACAGTAGAATTGAGATTGTTGTCACTTATGTTATTTTGATTATATGTCTATATTTTTAGCAAGGGTCATTATGAATTAGATATTGTGAATGGGGAGGTTGTTTTTTAAATCAAGTATATTTGTTTTTCTGCTGGTATGTTGTATCCCTCTCAGCTCAGGTTGGCTCTCACAGGCAGAGTTGAAGCCTGCCTCCTTCATGCTCTAAATTGTGTCAATAAAACGCTGTAATTACAATTACCCTCCTATCTTACCCTGAGACGATAAAGGGATAATGATTTAGTCTTCTGTCAGATCAACAGGGGAAATAACCCGGAAGGTGGGGG